AAAGCCCCCCCCCCCTCAAGCCGACGTGTTTTATTTTATTTCGCTTTGAATGGGATCAACGTAGTTCTTCTTTGACTAGTACATCCAATCCGTTACAGTGATGTCGATGACCAGTGTTTCGACAACTTCAACGGATCACAACACTGTGCAGTACGCCTGTGCTGCACTGCAACCGGCCAATTCCTCAATGGAATCGGACAAAAGTGGGAGCTGTAAGTTCCCAATAAGTCTTCTGGAATATTTTTTTGGATTTTTTTGGTTTTTTCGATGAAGTTCGGGATGCATATGCATGGGCATGAGGAACTCCTCGGTAAGATGTACTGTTATCGCCTTCATCAGAGTCAGTTCAGTGACCTTCCTGACCTAACAATAGGCCATAAAGTTCTCTAAAATCCTCTTTACGGTTGGATGAACAAAGCGGTAGCTCACCAAAAGGTCAGACTTCAACTGGTTGTAGACAAACTTGGTATGATCGCGATGTAAAAATTGTATGGGCAAGGGTGGTCCGCAATGGACAATCTTGTACCATTTTCCGAGCGGAACTCTGTAAGATAAAGGCGCTAAGGCCCAAAGTTGCCTCAGTGACTCCGCCTTCAGGCTCCGCCTTTGAAACCAACTTCGAGAAAAATAAACGATGGTACTAGATGAGTTGCATGAAACAGAGCGGTGGCGGGCCTAGTCGCAGTTCACGAGCACGACAATCCCCTCTTGAAATTACTCACCAAGAGAGGCTTCAGATCACCCAAACCTTCGTCATGAGTCCGCTGGCAGTTGTCTTATTGCCAGCGAGCTCAGCTGTGGCACTTCTTTAACTAAACTTATGTCTCTTACTTCCAGCTCGGCTTCACTATCCAACAGTATGTGTTCAAATTCCACCTCGTGCTTCAGCTTCATCGGTATCAACCCCGCCCGGTGTGGTCTCCTATGCGGTTCCCTACGCAAAACCGGTTAGTCACAAGCCATTGACAGCTTTACGTTTCTGCTTATATGTTATCGTCGCTTATAATTGCTTGAATGCACAATTTCTATCTATCATTATGCTTCTTCTCAAATGCTAAGTCTTGTAAACCATGGATTTCGTGCTGAGTAGGGGGCAGCTCCAGCCAAGTATCACACCTGGACGTCACGTTGCCTTCTGTCCTCTCAGCTTAATCGTATTTGCCATAGTTTTGCCCATAACCTGGCAATCGTGGTAAGTTTCTGATCGCGAACTGCGTCCACAAACAACTAACATCATACTAAAACGTGATTGTGTATGGGATTTCCGGTTTCGACCGGAAGCGTCGAAAGCTGATAAGCACCAGCTTATCAGCTTATCAGCTGCAAGGATTTCTTGAAAAACTTCCAAATTTTCAGAACTGATAGAGCTTTTTCGATCAAATTTCAAACGGTTTCATACTGCTGTTAACTAACTACTCGGAGTAGTGTTTTACGCAACATTTCGATCGCAGTTCTTCCCTTCCGTTAGATTCGACCCAACCTCGGTCCGAAGGGGTACCACGACCATTTGAACACAAATATCGCCTCTGTTCGAAACGCGTACCGCGGCGCTTGCATCGCAGGCGCCAGCGTCATGGCAATTTTTGCCTCTAGCGCGAGTAACGCATGTACTAGCCGTTTTCGCGCCATGCCAAGGTGGTATCCATGTTCACGTTTTAAAGGCACGGTCCGCGATCAGGTATAGAAGTTGAAAATATGGCGTTGAGAGGGTAGTGTGGTCCGCGACGAACAACCTTGTACCGGTTTCGCGGCAAAAAATTGTAAGGGAGGGGCGCTATAGCGCAATATAGGTTCAGTGACGCCTCCTTTTCCAGTGACTCCGCCTCCAGACTCCGCCTTCAAGGCCGCCTTTCAGTGAAAAACGAAGCTGCAGGACGAAAAAGCATGAAAATCGTCACTTGTACGGTCGTAGAGTTCTTATCGGGAATCAGCTGTGCGGATGAGGGCGTAGTGTTGGAGATGGAGTTAATTGGGCACGTACAAACTGGGATCGAAATGGGGTTCTATCTAGGGCAGTTGGCATGTTTTTTCTGCTTTTTCTTCACTATCGAGTTACTCAGCACCTTGTCGTCTATATGCAAACCCCTAATCCACTATCTGTGATGGCGAATGATCGCGGGCTTTGCCTTTAAGTAACTTCAGGGGCAGCACTTCTGGTAGACACACCCAAGGGGAGAACATCGATGAAAATCAGTCTGGAATTCCGAAGAGCGGGACACCAAAGGGTTAGTGGTGCATAATGCAGATGGTAGGTGTTGCATTAAATGCTATTTCGATGTCCTATCGTTCATGGTTGGGCAGGACCTTGCTGTAGTGAAAATTT